CCAAGCTGCCTGCCCCTTCCAGGAACCACCACCCGCCTCTCTTGCATAGCTCGGGGGTTGGTTTCAAGGGTGCTTTGGTCCCAATTGGGCCCATGGTCCTTGACAAAACCCCCACACCTGCTGGACAACATGACAGTGGTTAATGGGGGCGGGTGGGAGGGAGGTCATGGGCTGTGTCCACGCCTCCATGCTTTAATTCAGGGCATGACATACAGTAATTTATAAGCTGCCTGATGGAGCCGCTCATCTGCTAATGGAGCCAGCCCTGGCTGATTCTTCCCTCCCCCATTAAGAGCCCATGCCAATGGGGTCGTGGATGGCAGGCCACCCCATGCCCATCGTCCTGCCCCTTTCCAAAGACCTGAGGCCAGCCCCCACCAAGACCTGAGCCTGGAGGGCACTGAATTTGGAGGAGCTGTGGGAAAATATCAACTTAGAGCAGCCACAGGGCTGCTCTAACTTGCCTTGGCCTCCCTGGGCCCTGGGATCAGCACAGCCCAGGCTCTGGAGGTGGGGTGAGGTGGGATAAGCCCCAGGAGAGGGGCTTCTCCTGCAGCCCCTCCGGTGCCACCCGGGTCCAGGGAGCCTTTGGACAGCATTGGAACAAAGCAGCTGGCTGCTTTCGCGCTCCCTCCCCCAGTTACCCACAGCAGGTAAAACCCTTTGCTCTGCCCAGCTCCAGCCCGAAGCTGGGGTCTTTGCTTCTCCCATACAGGGCAATAAATCCTGGCCTCGTATATAAGCCACCTGGCGCGCGGGTGCCACGTTCGTCTGGTTCCTTAATGTCAGGCTTGTAAATTAGCTCCAGGCTGCTGGGCGACCTTGAAGGAGGCTCAGCGGGGAGCTGCCATGCTAGCAGGGTGATGGTGGGGGGTGGGGGGGTGATTGGGTGAAGCAGGCAGGGGAGGGAGCACCTGGGCCCAGCTGGTCGCAGCCCCAAGGCGTGCCTCGGTTTCCCTCAGTGACGCCAGCCTGCTCTGCAATGAGCCTGTTGCTGTTTGAACCCCAGTCTTGGCTCCCAAGTCATAGGGTTGTGGTCCAGGCTGGCAGGTTGGGGAATCAGTGCCATCCCCAGCTGATCACCCAAACCAACCCTTTGGTACGTGGCAACGGGGTCGGGGGGTGGAAACTTTGCTCTCCTGGGCTGGGGCAGGCGAATGCTGAAGGAGCTGTGGGCCCTGCCCTAGCTTGCTGGCC